CTCGCCTTCCAGGATGGGGACCGCATGATCCTCACTGTGCCTGGTTAGAGACACTACAAGATATGGCTGCCAACCGATGTCAGTGGCGTTCTTGTTGTCAGTTTCTGTCCATATTGCCTGAGTGAATGTCTGGAGGTGTAGGCACCTCGGAATGATTGTGTTAAGCTAGCACTAAGTCCCTCCCCCACCCACCTTTATTCTTTTCTTCACAATAAGGCTTTCAAATAAGTCATGGTTGTACGGCAGTGAAGCATCGGTGTTGAACACTGATGTCACGCTGTCAACGATGGTGATGATGATGTCAGTGCTACTCGCCTTCCAGGATGGGGACCGCATGATCCTCACTGTGCCTGGTTAGAGACACTACAAGATATGGCTGCCAACCGATGTCAGTGGCGTTCTTGTTGTCAGTTTCTGTCCATATTGCCTGAGTGAATGTCTGGAGGTGTAGGCACCTCGGAATGATTGTGTTAAGCTAGCACTAAGTCCCTCCCCCACCCACCTTTATTCTTTTCTTCACAATAAGGCTTTCAAATAAGTCATGGTTGTACGGCAGTGAAGCATCGGTGTTGAACACTGATGTCACGCTGTCAACGATGGTGATGATGATGTCAGTGCTACTCGCCTTCCAGGATGGGGACCGCATGATCCTCACTGCACCTGGTTGGAGACCCTGTAAGTTGCGACTGCTAATCGATGTCAGTTCCCATCCAGATAGCCTGAGTAATTGTTTAGAGGTAGGTGAAACTCAGAATAATTGCGGTAGGCTAACATCATCTCCACTTATCCAGTTTTCTCGCAACAAGACTTTCAAGTAAATCATGATTGTACGGCAGCGAAGCATCCGTGTCATGCTTCCCAAGACAAGGTGGCGTCTGAGGCGAAGCATCGGTTTTGAACACTGATGTCATGTTTCTGATGATGATGATGTGGTGTCTGAAAGGGATGCCATCTTTTTATTCTCGTTCCACTCCGTCATAATGTAATGAGGTAAACGCTGAAAGGTGTTCAAAATCCCGATGTCTAAATCGTCGCTGGTGACGGCTTTGTGGATCCGGAGTGCGCAGACTGCATTCTTATTTGGAGGTGAAGGTCAGGCACAGGCCTCATCGAGCAAACTTTATTACCATACCATCTCTTGGCATTCACCTTGTACCTACAAACTGCGAAGTTTCTTCAGAACGTGCAGTCTTTAAACATGCTCCTGGAAATTCGAGAAGTACTGGATGCTGTGGTGACTTTTACCCTGGTTGTTGTATTAGCTCTGACGGAAGTATCTGATGGGGCTGCTGTCCGTATCTCTGTTGCGTCTTGCTGAGTAGTGCAACTTATATATCGGTCCTTGGCATCTTGCTACACTCACTTTGATGTATCAGAAAGCATTGTAACTTGAGACAGCCGTTTTATGCGAACATTACTGCGATTGTATTTACAGGGTCATCCCAGAATGTTTCTCAAGGTCGTGCCAGAATATTCTCGAGGGGCTAGAAGGGCTGGGTTATAGATACTCGATCCAGCTTGGCTGACATTCTGATCATTCGAGGCGTGCTTTCACTTCGTCCATAGAACACACGTAACATATCTGTTTAATCTATGGGATTTTCGGTTACTGGGAGCGGTTGGTCTCCAGCCAATCTCATGCCCGATTAATGTTCGTCCATTCGCGCCACCAGTGGCCTCAAAAAGCCATATTAACTCAAGGGTCGTATGTATCAGGCTACAGCAAGATCCGTCTTGCTCTGTGGCTCCCAGCCATGGAATCGTCGTCGGTGTGCATCTGTTGAACCCACGACCTCCCAGTTTGAACACCTAACCGTTCTGCAGCAAACGGGTGACACTTGGACAGGATACACAGCCGCTCATTCTTCATTCTTGGTATTCACTTCACGTAGCAACATGCGTTGCCCGGCTTCTCAAACAACTTTCCAGATGGAAGTTTCACTTTTTTGAACCACTTACAGATTGTCCGTAGTATGGGATTTGGGATTTTTTTCTCCCCACATTACCAACAGTCTATATGTAACGTAGAGGGTGAAGGAAATTCAACCGATGTGTGAAACTTCCATATGAAATGCCGTTGATCAAGGAGCCAGTCAGCACATATTACAACGGGATGTGGATCCGTGGTTAAAGGTTGAACCGTGCTATGTCTTACCTGAGTGTGAGTTTGCCACACTGCTGCCAACCGCTCATGGTTGAAAAGTCAAGTGTTCAAACGACTAACTGCAAGACTCCAGGTTTCAGACTCCCTGGAGTTTCATGACCGCCCTGGTAGTTCGGCCGTGCGCTTTAAGAGCTTATGTATAATTAAGTGGCTGTGATGCATTAAAGCACTAGCTCCAAAACTGATGGCGTATTTGGTGATGCTGATAGCGATCAGTTGTTCATTCCCATGGATTTGCCGTAAACATGTGAATCCAATTGGAACGACGTTACGACGGTGTAAACTCTGTCAGTCGTTCACCAGTCGACAGAAGAATACGGAACAACGGTTTTAGTGGGCTGAGTCGCGACGTACATGGATGCACGTTTAGTGCCTTAAGTGGAATCTGTCGTACTTTGCATCCAAATTAACTCGTCAAGCTGCAGCACCCTTTCGGTGCACAACTGCTATGCCACCCGAAGGGAGCATGAAGACTGAGACAATAGAAAATCAATCAATTTATCAACCATTTACGCATTCCATATTGGGGTGTCTGAAGATTGAATCAATCCTGGGAAGTCCGGACTTTTTCAAAGCCTGGAAGATTCAAGGATGCTGTGCCTGCATATTTGTAAATATCGCCATACATTCATGATTACAGGGACCCAGAGTGATTGTACGTGCTAGTGTTTTCGATAAAGCAGTGCATTCGGAACAAGACCACTAGTTGGCAATTGCTGCAACTTGAAATAACTGTATGTGCAATTCATGGTTGTGCGTGGGCTGGGATACTGCCAGGGCGCCCACACCTAGACAGGAGGACGATTAGGGTCCTCAACCAAAGCCTTTGGCTGAAAAGCCTAACCGTAAGGCAGCGGTGTTTGGCGGGAAATGCAAATGCATTACCATTTCTACGGAACAAGTCGCCACATGTTCCAACCCCCAACCTGGAGGGCCAGGAGACTGTGTTCGTCAGACCTCTAACCATTGACCAACCTGGTATGAGAGACTCTGTGAGTGTCTCACGACACTCTCCAGTATAGCTCAATGGGTCGCTGAGGTGCGCAAACCGTCGCACCACGGTAAGGTCCAGTCTCTTCGTGATTTCATGCTGTCGATGATGATGTGATGATGAAATAACTGGATTGCTTTATGGCCGAAAATGGTGAGAGGAATTTTTCACACCTGAGGAAAACCAAACATTTGAAAGTCGCCACTCGAGGGAAAGAAGGCTTGGATTCGACGACATTTCAGTGTTTTGCTTGACGAGAGAATACGACTGGATATCTGAATACTCTACTTATTATATTTAGGCCGTTTTAGCAAGTGTTCAAAGGTTTTTTCATCAGTATCGTGCATTTTCATGTTCAGTTTTGTAATCGTGGATCACGTACTTCAAATAATCTCTGATCTAAGGATCAGTATTCGGCAATGGACTCTTCCACTAGGTCAAGGTAGCACTTGGGACACATCCATGATCAAAATGACGGTCCTATTTCGCCCTGGTGTCACTCGTACGAGAGGATCAAGCGGAGTACAGCGTCGTAGGCAACGCTTCACGTTGATGCCGTGATATTGACTGAGGTCGCTCTGCTTTTTACGCTTTCCTTCACTTCGTTTGCGCTGATTCGGCTGGTGCGACAATTCTCCTTTGGGTATTACAGAAGAGCGTCACAGCAGAACCGAGTTTGCTTTGGCTATACTGTCTTTTGGAAGCACTGTATCAGTTGAGTGAATTCCATTCTGCGTTACATAGTTATTAGTATTTGATTGGTGATGGCAGCGATGAAGTCTAATGTGTTATTTCGCTCATTCTCTGGCTTACGTATACTTTCGCTTTATTGTGGTTTTCGTTTCCGTCTTGCACTTCTGATATAGGCCACGCTTGGAGAGTCGATTTGGACTGTTACAGTTCCGTTCCTAGTCATCCAGTACCAGAACTATGTCATCTGAGTACTCAACAATGTCGCAGGCTTCCGGGTTGAGATTTCGATTCACTTGAGGTCGGAGGCATGTGCATGCAGTTCCATTCTCGTCCCACCAACAAAATGGTTTGATAAGTAGTCTGGAGGATGGTTTTCTTAAGTGTAAGAACAAAGCGCCCTCCTGAGCACTCGTGGCTTCCTGGATGTTATCACTGCAACTTAGAGCATTACAGGCTTAATGAAGCTAAGTTTTTCTCAAATAACCTACGACTTCAGACCAAGTTAACCATTTTTACTCGTTAGAATCAATGGTACCTGTCTCTTGGCCGCGCATCATGCGGGAAAAAGACTCAAAATCATCCACAGATACGTGATTCTCTTGAAGAAATGTCTAGAATAATGCAGAGAACATCCTGGATGCTAGTTCTATTGAAGTGATCTCCGTATCGGCCACTAGAACCTACCACATTCTCACTTCCCAATCTTAAATGCTTTACGTTGTGTGGTGGATCACGAGACCTGTGACTGAGATTTAGCACGAAACACCCAGAAATATATTGGACTAAAAAGAGGAGTGATGAACGAGCGCCCATCGGTTGACCATCAGAACCGGTATTCCTAGTCTTGAAGAGTTCATATTCATGACTCTTCGAACAAATGGAAGTGAGAGTTTCCACGTGCACCCACTTGCTCTTTATCAATTACTTTTACTTGCTTTCATTTCACATCTAGCCTTGTATCAGTCAGTCGTGCGCAATAATCCCACTAAATAGGTTGTCTTTGGACAGGTGTCCACAGATTTTCGTTACCAGCCATTCATTCCAATGTAGGTTATAATGCTTCTGTGTCGTCTATTTTTGCTTATAATAAAAAAACAAGTGATTCACACAAGAATACGGTCGATTCGGTACCCTTGTTCAAGAAACCAGTCTCATTTTTATTCAGGCTCGTGGTGGGAGTGTTGGGGATGCCGGTGGTGCTGCTGATCGGGTAATCAACCAACTTCTCACTGAAATGGATGGTATGTCATCGAAGAAAAATGTTTTCATCATCGGTGCCACTAACCGACCTGATATTCTTGATGGTGCTATTCTGCGTCCTGGCCGTCTTGACCAACTCATTTACATACCGCTACCCGATGAGAAGTCTCGCATTAGTATTTTCAAGGCGAATTTGAGGAAGTCACCGGTTGCTAAGGTGAGTTTTGCTTTTTGAACCACGAACGAGGTTTTAATCTTACATGGCTGTGTTATTCGACGCCAATGCACCAGTCAAATGGGAATATGGGGTTAAATTTGTGCGTTTGGATCAGATCTATCTTTTGACAGTGCTGCAACTTAATTGTCTGTCGCCGGATTTTTGTTCCGCCCTGTGGTATATCAAAAGTTACGTAAGGCGGCTTTTTTCATAGAGCTGAAGGAAAATCACAACTTTAATAATAGGGTTATCATTGATTGTTCCAGAAAGTCAGCGGAATCTTTGTCAGCGGGCGGGAAGCATCAAGATGTAAGCCCTCGATCTTGATTGGCCAACACTAGCCAATCAGGATGTCTTCTTTTGGCCATAGCCCGCACGTTCCACCCGTCCAATCGACGTGATTTTCGCTTAAATAGAGCGAGATGGCTCCATTGTTAGCGCGAATTTGCTGACCGGAAGGTCCGGGACCTCTGCCTCTTGAATTCCTCTAACTAGGCTTGGGTAACCTGGCAGTATTTCAGCCCTCGTGCTTCGCTTGAGTAGTTTGGCAGCTAGGCATCGAAAGGGTGTTGCAGCTGAACGATTCATTTTATTATATTTAGAGCGGCTTGCCTCCAGTGAGCACTCTTGATTTTCACTTCATCGGCCATAAAAAGCCAAAACTCATGAAGTTGTACTACCCATCGGGTTGTCGTAGTATATGTATACATATGCGTGTGTACCCGGAATAACCATGCTAGGGAGGGAGGACTTTTCAAACGACAGTGATGTGATCACAAAAACCACAAAGTCCCGCAGCTATTTACTCACAACCAGGCCTAAAGTAGCAAACATTTTAAATTAGAGCTAACCTCGTAGCAGACTTACAGGAACGTACGGCAAACACGGTTGCCCTACTTGAGATGATCACCGATCACTGCAACAATCTGTTTTGTCTGTCCGACTACACTGGCCTGGAACAGTGTATGCAGAGTGATTACTGCCCTGGTGAACAGGCACCACAATTTATCGGTGCTTGGATAACCTAAATTTATTCCCCTACGATCTCATGAGTCCGAGTTACCAACAGGGGACTCAAATCACGAAAATGTACCGTTTAGAAACGCAATCAAAGGTTTTGGGGATAAGCACAGCGCCCATGTCAGCCCTTGCCGGTGTTGTGAGAGGAATAGTCGAGATCCAAAAGCTAGTTGGGAATATCTGATAATAATACCCTTGTGCCTAGCCGAAAGGTTGCCCAGGCCTAGGCGGGATAAGTCGAGGTGCTGAGGTCGGGTTCGATTCAAGGACCCTCCGTTTAGTAAATTCGCGCTGCAACCACTGAACCATCTAGTCTTACTCTAACAAACCGTGAGTCCTTATGGTCCTCAAATGTGACCAAAATTTGAAGACAGACTTGAGCAGTCATACGCAGTAGTAACAGTATATACATTCCCTAATCAGAGCAGTTGTCAAAGTCGCTCGTGGCTTGCAAGGCTGAGCCTTCGTCTCTAATTAAATTTCTAACCAAGTAGCACTTTGAAAGAGCCCTGAGTTCCATTGAATGTAGCAAGTGGGTGTACTGTGCCTGTCAACTTGCACTGCAGGTCGTCGTTCGAAAGCAGGTAGAGGACATCATCTCTGAAAGGCATACTAACTTTTGAGTCATTCAGGAGGTTTGTTGTAAAGCGGGGGGTGGGAGTGGCTAGATCACTCAAGTGGTTAGAGCGCGGATTCATTGGTCCGTGGTTCGAACCCGACCTCTGAATCTCGGATTCCCCTGTCTAGGCTTGGGCAACCTGACGGGGACTGCGCCTGGTTGGAGGCGCTGCAAAATATGGCTACTGATGAGTGACAGTGTTCTCTTTGTCAGTTTATTAAAGGTCGTCTGAATGAATGTTCGAAGGCGTAGATACCCGAAATAATTGTAATAAGCTGGCACTAGATCCTTCCTCTACCCATTTTTACTGTTTTTCGTAGTAAAGCTTTGAAATAAACTGCAGTTGTACGGCAGCGAAACATTGGTCTGCAATACTGATGATGTGATGTTGATAACGATGATGACGACTCAGGTGCTGCTCACAAGGCACCTGCCGTGTGCATCAGTAGTGGGATAGTAATGTCCCCTGCGCTTTCAGGTTATCCCAGGCCCCTGCAGCCGAACTGGTCAGACTACTCAGCCAATGACTCCGTCCATAGTTCCAAAAAAGCCTACTATCCACTGCGTCGTGAGTCTGACTTTCAAGCCAGAGGATAGGGACTGGATATCCAAACGAAACCTTCCATTCTTCCACGGCCTTGTGGGTCAGTCTTCTGAGTCAAAGGCTCAAGGTGGGGTGTCTCAACCAAACCCGTTTCCTCGGCCTGGACAACCGGGAAATTTAATTTGCCCACAGTTCTTTCTCCACCTATGTCCCTCCTCAACCCCTCCTACCGATACGAACAGGTGTTGTTGGGTCCTTGTCAGTTATCTGATCGATGAGGGCGAGAGGGCTGAAGTGGTTAGAGCGCGAATTTGCTGACCGTTGTTCGGACGCGATGCCTGCACTTCGACTGCTGTCCAGGCTTGGTCAAACTGGAGTCCTCGAGGTTTCTTCGGGTGGGATGGCAGCTTGTCACTGGAAGGGTGTTATAGCTGTATTATTATTATTATCTGTATTATTATTAGTATTATTGCTGTAGAGGGACACCCAAAATTCACTAAGACCTGGCTCGTTAACATCCGAATTGTCAAAGAAAATAGTTTCATTGTCCATTACGTCAACATCCGGTCAATTTTAAATTAGAGCGAAAGCGTGTTGCTGCGTACGGGTGATCCTTCGAAAAATGCGGTTTTTTCTGACCACTAGCGGGACTGTGTTTGGTGCGCTGAAAAACATCCAGTTCAAACATTAGTCCTTGGAGTTTGTGATAATTCATTATTGTATTGCACAAATAGCACTTTTTCCCACACTTACACTTAGGTCCTACAGGTGGTCCATTGATCACCCTTTCTTGACTGCCAATCCTTTTGGAGAAGCTGTTGACAGTGATATCAAGTTGAGCAGCTAATTTCCCACTTAATCATCGCCTTTCGCTCTCCATTTGGGCTCGGTTTGTTGCTAGCTGGTTGACTGAAAGGCAAATTGTAGCATCTGATAGACCAAGGCTCCATCATTCTTTCAGGTGCAGACTAGCGTCATGTCGCTGTAATTTGGAATTTGGTACACCCAAGGCCGGGAAGTACATCCGGTCTTCATCTTCAGAAAAGACGGACAAACTTATAATGGTTGTTTTTCGCGTCCATTTTCCAAATTATGGTCAGGTTTGACTGCTTGATCTCAAAGTCATTCACCTCCCTACTTTTCGTGGCCCCCACTACGTTGATTCTGTCCCCCATAGCCATACAACCATTACTGGTCACTTGGGTACGGTAATGGTACATGAGCGATAGCTTTCATTTTGACTGAACCATCATTAGTAAGCCTTTCTTTTTTTAAGGATGTGGACATCGCTTATCTTGCCAAGGTCACTCAGGGCTTCTCAGGTGCCGACCTTACGGAAATATGCCAACGGGCATGTAAACAAGCGATTCGTGAGTCAATCGAAGCAGAGATCCGCGCGGAACGTGAACGCCAAGCACGACCAAATGCCATGGTATGTTTCCATGCTTTTTACTCTGACGGAATTTCTATATTTTGTTAACTGGAGCGCACATATTACCAGGAACTAAGATGCGTAAGGCATCAACTTGAACTCAACGCCATGGGTAACGTTCAACGTCGAACTTTTTAGATTTGCCATTGGCGGGTATTTTTACGCATCACCGTTGGCATCCCGTGGCATTTCCTTATCTTGTGCACGGTTTCCACCAGTTTCTCCCTCTGTAAGAAACGAACCCATTTGGGTCCGGACTGCTGTCATGTTCCGGCCTCTACACAAATGCGCTTATTTGTTCTGATTTTTGCTCCCCATCTTGTTGGATGTGTAAGACGTGTATAGTTTGGTTTTGGTTGTTATGTTTTAACGGCTTTTGACTTTGTTCCTGTTGATGACCAGCAGGTCAGCAATCAGTTTACATCGGTGCTAGTTTCCTTGTTATCGGACAATAAATCTGTTTATATGGTGCTTTTGGTAAATATAATTGTCGTCTAAGTCGACGTTGAGCCGAGCTCGTGTGACTAACTTCTTTTTTCAAAAAGCGTCGATTCCTAACCCAGCCTTCGGATTCCTTGTCTGATCATATCGGGCGTGTGTTACTCTTATCCTCTCATTTGAGCTATTTACGAGTCCCGAAGCTCAGGTGAAGTGAGCGTCTTTGCACTTGACTGACTTGTTCGTTATTTATCACATCGCCTGGTTGCGTTTCACTTGCCATTAGGTTTGTTCGTTTAACGATGTTTTCACTCTAAACGGAGTTCTCAGAGCTTTGTTTTATTAGCGATTTCTAGATCAGCTACTTTTGCTCGTGAGTATGCTCTTCAGATTGTTTGCCTATCCATCATATTCGGCATAGCTCGATTGCCTCAGTTCTCGACACCGTAGAAGCACAGAAAGATACAGGTACGAATTGGTTACACATAATCTCAACCTACACTGGCTTTGTACAGATTTCGTTTACTGTTTTCAGTTTTCAGCACTGACCTTCCATACATTCTCCATTTGACTACTTACTGATGAATTTATAGAGGACAGTTATTTTTATCAGTTAATGAGGCATGCTCATAATTTTGATAAATCGCGGAGTGAACACAAGTGGTTAAGCGGGGATTTTACTGACCGGAAGGTCCGTGGTCGAATCCGCGCCTCTCGACTTCCTTTGTCTAGACTTGGGCAACATGGCAGTATCCCAGCCCTCGTGCTTCCTTCGGTGGCATGGCAGCTAGGCACCGGGGGATTCTACATGTGGACACTTTCCTACACAGGTGAATGCCTATCAACTACAACATTGACAAAGTCCTCACTATCAGAAGTACAACACAATTCCCATATACATGTAGTAATTGCGTACCACTCCATGATTCACAGGAAAAAACCTTGGGATAATAATAGAGATCAGAGGACAGTCACCAAGTTAGTTGGCAGTTTTCAACATTATCATCACAAAATTCAGCCTTACATTGGAGCTACATCATTTTCGTGGGAGATTCAGGGATTCGCCTCCAGCCAACCAGCATTTTACTCGACCTTACCTCCCTTCTCACACTTCAGTTATTTTCTAATTCATCTCTCCGTATATAACTTAAAGCCTTACCGTCAAACTAGTATGAACTGCCGTCGATACATGTTATAAGTGTTGATATGCGCCTTCGGGGATCTTTCGTAATTGCATGATCTCCCCTCCAAATCTAAATATGAAGGACTTCCGGACTTACACATAGAAGACTAGGATCAACATTTTGAACCCTGGGTCTCGCAAGGCTCTCTTTTTTGCCCACCCTATACCACAAACGATGGTATTCGGCGAGCTGTTTGTTGTAAGCTACATTCGACGGCACCGCATATTCTCATTTCAATCTACCTTTTTTGGTATCCTGCGGAATTTCGAATAGCTGTCAGACATTGGAAGGTGACATTTTTGGTGGTCTTATTCCTGACGTGATTAGGCTAGACCATAGTGAGATGATTAGTAGGCCTCAGTATTTTATTTAAGCATACTGGTGGGTTCCGCTATCAACAATCAAGGTTATCTTACCAGTCTGAAATATTAATACCAGTCGGACCAATAGTTTGACACTTCTCCTTCGACAGGCCCTATTGTCTAAACTCTGATTGAATTCCCTAACCGTTCTACCACCCACGTAAGATCCTTTGTTATGGTTAGATTATGACTAAATAACAGCTTCAACATACCGAGATTCGTTGCTGGAAGTGTCACAACGGGCGACGTTATTGAGGAATGGAATAATCGGTACTATGAAAACCAAGTAAATGGACACCAAACAGACAACTGCCATCATAGGGACTTCATTTGATTTGTCAGATGAAATGCCTATTTTTAGTGGCTTAAGATTGAGGTTGACACCACGATTCTTATTCGCCTGATTGTTTCACTCCTGTAGATCACTCGAAGTGTCCAAAAGGTCGGGTAACAATTTGCGTGGTTCAATCATAATCCAACAAAACTGAATGCTCCACAATACATTCGATCTTTTCTCCTTTTTTTGCACAGAGGCTATGCAGATATTCTCATACTTGTATTATTATTTCACACCACTATCAACCTTCGTCGTTTTTTTAGACGAAGTCTTATACAGAAAACAACGGGTCGGAGAAAAGCCCTTTCTCAATTCAGTGATTAAGACGTGGACGTATTGACTAGAAGGTTCGTAGTTCGAATCCACCCTGGGCATCTCGACTGCTCCCATCTAGGCTTGGGCAACCTGACAGCATCCCATTGGGCGGTTTGGCAGCTGGGCACTGCAAGGCTGTTAGAAGTGAACAGTGTCATCTCTATCTCTATACAAAAAGTTCATGGGATCCATCACTGGGCCGGCGATGCTTAATTGACCTGATTTGATAGCCTCACGTCATATCGTCTTAAATCAGCTCACCGGGTTCATTTGTCAGCATCCTAGTTTAGGTCTGCCTTAATCTTTCGATAGATGAGGTTTGCATTTTTTCTCCCAACTACAGGAACGGCTGATGCTCAATCCTATATGTTGGAAATAGTCGCTAGTTCTATGTACCTTGGAGGTTGTGTAGCCTTTGGTGGGAGAGGTTTCACTTCGCAGCAGTAAGATCAGAGCAACATTCGACCATCTGAAGCACCGCTTATAAGTCGAGGGTGCATTACCGAAGTGAGACCTTGCTTCCGTACAAGTGGCGTTCACTGGTTTTGTCTGTAAATCGTTGCACGTGTCTGCTGGCTGCAGCGCGTAGGCAACGGTATGGTAAGGCGTATAATTCTCGGAAAATTCCTACAATGAACACGATTGTTTCGTCACGTTGGTTAGAGTGGTCCGCTATCTCCTACGCACGCCGCCATATCATGCTCCACTCATGCGTCCTTGTGGGAAGCGCACCGCTGAGATTTTATTAAATGTTCGGTTGGGCACCAACCCCGTTATCATGCATGTTCAAATACACGCATTCATTGTTTTAGGAAGATGATAGCGATCCCGTACCTGAGATTACACGCCGTCACTTCGAGGAGGCTATGCGCTTCGCCCGACGGTCAGTAACAGAAAATGACGTACGGAAATACGAGATGTTTGCACAAACACTTCAGCAGTCGCGGGGCATCGGAACTAACTTCAGGTAATTTGTTTCCCCTCCTATTTGTACTTACTGCCAAAACGCCCAGCTTGGGAAATTCAAGGTTTTTTTACCTCAAGTTTATGAAACACTTATTCGGCGCCTTTTCACTGTTGTGTCTAAAAACATGTCCTTTCATAACTGCTGTCTACTAGGCGAGGTACCGAAACTATCCTGCTAGGTGCGTTGAATCATTAGTGGGTATCTACTCATTGAAGTACCAGTTTTACTGAGAGGTATGCATCAACTTGCGATTTAACCAAATTCGTGTCCCCAGAGTTATTTTTCTATGCTTGCTCTGGGTTTGCCAGGGTGGTATACAATTTTCAAAGCACATTTTCCACCTACTCGTATTATCGCGAAACCATCTCAACGTAGTTGAAGAAAATGTCATAAAGAATTTGTGAAGATTATGTTAACAGAGAGGCAGGAATTGCTAACACAAGCGAATTTTCTTGACCATCTTGTAAACTTTGTCAATCCATTTGTTGCTCATTGATCTTCATTGTCGTTGTAACTGATCTAGTTTCGTCTTCCAGATTCTGCACACATGGCCAGCACACTACGACAATTTCACTATCCAGTTTGCAAAATAGGTACGACCGATACGAAGTCGGTGAAATGTCTGCAATGATTGCTGACTAACGCGGCTATCCTCCTCTGACTCAATTTTTCGGCTCTCACCAACTGGTCCAAAATTTGTTCTGTTGTTCATCCAAATACAAAGGGATGACACTAGTCAAATGTTAAATTCAGAACGTCCGCTATGTAGCCGCCAGACCACTTTGCAGGTGACAACTAGGTGTTTCGAGAAAGCTAACGTAGATAATGTTGATGGGCCTGGTCAAACTACGTGATAGGAGCATCACTGAGCGCTATCCGATTTGTGAATTTTCGATAAATTAAATCTGAGAGAAAATTTTTGATCAGAACCACTTGAACTCTAAAGCACTACAAGAATGGCACAGTTGAGGTGTTGCTTTTGTGTCCATCTTGTTCTCGCTCATGGAGATCTATTGCCACGTAACCAGCATTTGTGCTATCCACGGTCGCCTCACGGTATGTAGGCAGTCCATCGGTCGCCCCACGGTCAGTCTTTACTTAAGGTTCCGGACAATGGTTTCTAACATATGCACCTATGTACCTTCGAACTTCTATCTGCAGTGTTACTGTTGCCTCATGTCAGCAGATGCTTGCAATTATGAATTATTTTTCCTTCCGGAAACTGCCAGCTTTATTCTCACCCACATCAGAAGACCACTTGACACTGATCTGAGCTTGGAGTTAATAATTCATGTCGGAACACGATAGAGTGGTATTTTTCCACTAAAAATTTTTATGGAGCAGATTTTATCTGTGTGATATGAGGTTTGACGGACCTGAGGACACAATCCATTCTACGTTCACCAATGCAATTTAAGGGCTGACGGACTTGGGTGCACGTGTACTTTCGCGGGATAAAAGCTCAATGGCTTCAACATTTTTCGTTTTTGACTGAGATGGACAATTTTCAGTTACCTGTAAAGAACACGACCCCAACTCAACAAACTTAACTACTAACCAACCGATGCCTCGAAAAACCGTGAATTTAAGGAACAAAGTTGGGTTAAACACGAGCAAGAATGCCGAAAGTTTCTAATACGCTTCGGGGTTTCCGGAATTTCGCCCATCAATCTATAGATGAATTTTACTATACCAAGACGAGGTTATCCGCTACTAGACGGGTCCATGTTCGGGGACGGAAGGTCCACTGTAGTTTAACTTTTGCCGTGTTGCCGCTCAATTGCATGCATACGACGGTTACCAAACCTACTTGTGTTCCAGGTTCCCATCTGAAGGGGCACCGAGCGGTACGCCAGGTTCGGGCAGGCCGGGAGCTGGTGCTGGCGGTCCTGGATTTGGAAACACTGATGCTGAGGATCTGTACAATTAAGCGCCCCATCACCCTACTTTCTCCTTGACTTACCCTGGCGACCTCAGGCACACAGTTTTGTTTGCCGATTCGGAGTCTTGCTTTTTAACTGTCCGGTCAGCGGTCCTGAAATTTCTTCCGACCTTTCAATTTCCAACCTGAAGACTTGGTCAGAACGTGTTCAACATCTAATTTTTCATATATTCATTTATTGTTCCGCGTTTCTCATTTGAAATTCGAATACAGTCCGAATAGGCTGGATAACACCTTGTGCTGACTGCGTACACCCTACTAACCAACCGCGAATGTGGTCTAGTCGTGCGAGCTGTAATTGGTCCAGTTCAAAGGTTATCCTTTGAATAACTGTACATACAATGCTTGTTTAACGTTTAAGACGCATCACTGTTGTCGCTTCCAATGTTAGGACGCTCGACGTCATATCTCTTAATCCAGACTAATCCGAAAAGCCTCAAAATGAAGGTTTTGTAGTGGGTTTTGACACGCTCACGTCTTTCAAGGTCAAGTACCTCCCGGAGCCAACCTTTACCTCTAAACTTCCAGGCGGGGCGTGCCTTCCAAATTGACGCTTTGGTTTCGCATTTATGTGACGGGAGGATGCCCTCAAGAAGACACTAGAAACGTTCGAGGAAAGAACAAGAGTATTTCATTCGTCTCCGCTTAAACAGTGGGGTGCTGTTAAAGAGAACACGTCCCATCAACTGTCAAACGGAAAAATATATAGAGATGGGTCTTTTTTCGGTGGCACGCCGAAAATTCACCCACAGTACGACAAAGGACTGGCAAGCCCCCCACTTGTAGTAATCGAACTGATCTCACCCTCCGTCGTCAGTGCCAGTAGTGACTATCCACATAAGCTGTTTTCCACGAAAAAAAAAACGGTTGAGCAAGAAGCTGTTGCGAGGACCGTGGTCTTTGTTCCTGCCGAAGGTCACGGTAACAACATAGCCCCCGTGATATCACCACGGTATTGACAACTGTAAGAGTTCGTGCAAATTCGGTAACTGGGATTAGTACGTGGCTTCTGGCAGCTAGCAACTGTAGGACGCCACGTGTGCCTCCTGAGGTTGGCTATCGAAATAACTGGACGTGTTGAACTTACCCCCATAGAAAGGTGGATATCAAACTCCCGGGGTCATCAGCCCATATGGCCTTACAGCACAGTCGGTAACTTTTCGGACTCCTGTTGTTGGTCATAAACAACAACTTTCGCGTTTGTGCAATCGCTACTAATTGACGGGTATTTCTAGTACTGATGGTCTCCTTGTTCCACAATACACCTACAAGGACTTAGTTTCCAGATTACTACGCGTACTTGGTACATAGTGATGAAAGATCACAGAGCTGTTCTGCGGGTTATGGTGCAGCACACTTGGCCTGATCGTGATTTCATATGGGATTGGTATCAAAAATACCTTTTATTTTTGGGTACTTATCCGACTAAGACATTTATGACACTTCGGTCCGGTCAACCCGTTTGTGAGATTGAAACCTGGCCTCTGGGTGTTGTAGCTATTCACAGACTTAGGTAGGGTCGTGGTCGCTGGCTGCGGCAAATGACGCTGTCTTTGCCTAATGTGGAGCGACTGCTTTGAGAGATGGCCAGTCCTCGGGGGCATTGGTTTGCCTCGAAATTCAAGATGTAGCTAATCATTGAAAGCGACGGTTTTGATGTAAGAGCGCCACCAGGTACGTGATTAAGCTACCTTTGCCAGTATCATTAACCATTGGTGGTTCGAGTCCTGGGAGACGGTAGTTGTCGACCCGATTGAGTGCTAGTTGTTTTCATACATCGTTTCCAGGTTACACCTGTCTGTCGTTTCCACTCCGCGCAAGGCTGGGTGGAAAGAACACGGTCCTCTGGCATACCTCTCCTAACCAGCGCAATCTATGAAACACGAGAAACCCGCCGATCCTGAGTTACTTCCTCCTAGAACAATCTGGTTTACCTCAGCATACATCAAACACTAGCAGCCTTCGTATGCATTCTGCGCTTGGAGACTGCGTTTCTATCCACAAAATAGTATTGATAGCACACTTGACGGTGCGACGACAGGTGTCGGAGGTTGGCAAAGCTTTCCTGATCTTCTCGATTCGAGGACTAGTCTCTAGTCAGTCCACCGGAACTCAAATAATTTATCAGGTGAACAGATTGTTAGATTAGATAGTCTTCAATTTTGATACTCGATTTTTTTCGTCCCACTCAATCCGGTAGCAGCACTTGATATTGCGGGTGTGAAGCGTGTATCAAACCGTGCGGTAGAATTTAGTTATCTGAAATGATTTGCGTGTTTGTAGGATCTGGATTAAACCGAGGTTCCAGAAGCAGACGGGAATTTCAAGCGGCACATCATAGTGACAAGGCAGTCTTCTGTTCCACTACTGGACGTGAACTCAGACGAAAACTTGCTGTATACCCGTACGCACCCACAAGCGTTCGTATACGGTGTCCTCAACAGATAAATTTTGAGAGCACACTTGATCGCCAGGTGCCGCCAAAGTTCCTGACGATCGATGGAATCAGAAGCAGCTTTCCAATCAAGAAAAGCGACAAACGTGGGACGTTTGAAGGAGTCTGAAGGTAAATGTATGGTCGATGCATTCTCGAAAAGTGCGAAACCCAGCTTCAATCTCCCGATAATCGATAATCTTCGCAAAATAGAGCACTTTAGAGTTGCTGCCAGTTGTTGGCGATCGGCTGCCGTATTTGGCAGCAACGTCTGCGCGTCACCCAATACTTCCTCAGGTCAATCGGAATCAATCTTCAATCCTCAACACCCTGTCCATCTGACTGCTTTTAATATTCGCACTCTGAAAAAAGTGGAACAACACATTTCCCTTGCTCTCACACTGGACTCGCTTGACATTGACGTGTGCTGTGTACCAAACAAGAAATCAAAATGCAAGCACAGTGCTCCCTTTTGGTGGCATGGAAGTTGGGCACTGATAGGGCGCTACAGCTGAACACCAGTGATTGAGCTAACTTCCCCATCACTGCACTCGCACTCGGCTACGCCTCTGGTGTTCCAGAAGCCGCTGCGGCGGGATGTGCAGCGAGTGCTATCGTCCTAAGTCATCAAGCGGAAGTATTCTTATTTGAATGGATACTCGTCTTCTGGCCAGACGGCGTCCTCCAACGGCGTACCTGCTACGAAATCAAGTTGATCACATCACCAATAAGTCACCGGTGTGTGTCCATAGTAGCTTTTTTTCCAGGGCCGCGTAAGGTGCGGTCGAATCGCTTAACGGAGATGGCTCACCACTTAGCGCGCGAATTTACTGATCGGAAGGGCGGCGGTTCGAACCCAACTTCTGCATCTCGACTTTCCCTTTCTAGGCTTGGGCAACCTGGCATTATCCTAACCCTTATGCTCCCTTCTGGGTGGTATAGCAGGTAGGCGCTGAAAGCGTGCCACAGCTGAACGATTTATATTTTTATTTAAATATCTCCAATTCAAATCAGGCACCAAATCTACGTAAGGCAATTGCAAAAGTTCCTCCATTCTACTCTTGAGGGAGGAAGGGAAATGAGTGCTCTTGTTAGAAAAGTCAAACGCATCAGAATCGAATAGTGGACAGCATCTAGAACACTGATGTGAGAGAATGTGCGAACTAACAGTGAGAGAAAGATCGATCTAGATAAGCTAGCTGTGGTGACGTGCCACTATATCTTTTTCACGTCAACATGCCATCATATTTCTACTTTCCATATAATACGTGTGGAGTCTTGAGGTAGAGCGGTACATGTTACCAGTCCTTATGTCAGAGTTCAGTGGGCGCATGGTTTCAGTTCGGGACATCTTATAAAAACACAAGGTCCTGAAACGTAAATGGTTTAGAATCGCTGGTGAAAGACGTAAGTGGCTTACGATTTGTACAGCCGAAGTGATGGTTACGTGATGCTTTGGACAGTGAATATCGCGATAATAAATCAGGAATGCACGATTGTAGTTTTCCTCAACACATACTAACTGATACAGCTTTTGTACGACTTCATTTTGGCACAATTAGAGTGCAGGTATATCACTGTTTCACTGCACGAATTCCGTCCGCAACATTTGCCATAGTGACAGCACATTGTTACCTGGATTGCTTCCGTTAGTTTAAACGGCGAGACTGTTATCCTGTCCAGGGGGCTATACATTTAGAAAGGTAATGTTCTACTATTTATTGAGTTTGCTCACTACCGAATGACGCATTTCTTCTGATCTAAGTATCATTCCGTCCGTCAGCACCAGGACGATCACCTTTCCGCCCAATGTGTTCGATCCTCGCTGTATGCCTTATGGTGTTTTAGGCATGAGTCGACCCTGCATAAGAGGCACCTCATGTTTAATTAAATCCCTGAATTTCCCAAAACCTTCCGATAATAGCCCAATGAAATTCATCGTTGTCACGTCAGGGTCACGTCAACCAGAACAGAACGTGTGCTTTAATGCTTGCATGGTTGTAAGCTCCAATTTTGGCTTCAACTTAATTTTCGTGACCATGATTGCACCTGGCTACTTGCAGCGCGAACCACAGAATGTCTTCCTTGAAGTTTACAACCACGACTGTAGTTATAGGACGAACTGTCTCCATTCTCAACTCGCTGGAAGTGGCGAGAGACGCAATTCGTCCTCCTGTCTGACAGGATTTTTGGGTGCGTACTATTGGGTCCTTATGTGCACTTCACTGAGCCTCAAAATCCTGATAAAAGTGTAATCACACACTTTTGAAAAATTCTCGACTGATAGGGTTCAATGATTGATATAGCACGTGAGAGTACGCAACCTAGTTCTTCAGACCTATGGATATTCACACCTTGCGTATATCATAAACGCAATCACTGAGTGTGTGATAGCAACCGTATCTCTGGGGCCAGTTGTCTACGGTTTCGAAATTTCTAGCAGCGTCAAACCTCAGAAAGGTGTTTTTCTTCGCATCGGAGACTTCAGTTGCTCGTGTGGGTGGTGTAGATGGATGAGCGCGCCATATTGTAACATTTCCACTAGACTGAATACATGCTGAGCGAATAGCTTATCTCAACTTCATTATCATAGTTGCATTGCTAACACAGGTCATCACACGAGTAATTCTTACTCTTAACACTTCAATGAAAAGGTAAACCTTGCGTGACCTCCCCTTAGAGCAATATTAACACCCACTTATAAAAGAATACCTAAAGGATCCATGAGCATTGTCAACATGGCGCAAGTCGGGTTTGAGAAACTTCACCTTATAGACTCCATCTAGAATAGCATCAGAGGCTTTTGTCTGAGTAGGAGCTACTACTTGTTTCCATGGGGAACATTTCCATTTTCTTAAAAATTAAAGACAATTAAATCTTCACGCTTTCGTTTCCAATAAATGAGGGGTTTGTCGCGTTGACTCGGCGTTGTCAAACCGTCGTTTAAACCGTTCAGTTGGACCCCTTACTGGGAGGCGAAATTACAGACTGAATGAATGTCAAAAAAGAAAGCTATATCAGGCAAACTAATAACAATAGAGCATATCAACCCATACGTAAACTATATTCATCAATGGATGAAATAAGTGAACGTGTGGAAACCCGGATAAAATTGATGCGATTAACTATAAGAATAGACTAAAATGGGGAAGAAGTCTGTTGCAAGAGTCCTAAATTTAACAGAAAAATCTAGCAGATTAATGTAGCGGTGGACCGGGCACGCGCAAAGACTACATCCTTTGAACATATCGAGTGGTATCAATGAACTACTCGTTCCCACAAATTGTTCCATGTTAACGATGTAACGCCAGACGGTAACTAATCAATTGTAACATGTTAGGTGATGTCTACCTTGTTTCGACTGTCATGTGACAACTGTCGAGTTTCCGACACCACCTAGCACTTTGGATGAAGTGCACTGATTTGTCCAAAAATGTGTGCATGTTCACATGAGGCGTTTTTATGTTTGTTTTCCTCAGAGGGACCGTGAAGAAATTGGACGTCTCAGTCGAAATCCCGAACCCATTTTTAGCCATTCCGGCGAATATGCAAAGTTCTCGGTTTCGTCAGACTTTTGGTGTATGTAAATCTGAATTCGTGATTTTTCCAACAGGCTAAACTTCCCCAGCAAAGATAACTGTACATCGCTTATTATACCCATCGTGTGTTGTGCATTTGTATCTACGGTATCGTTTATTTTTTAAGGGCATGGTCACAGACAAAAAGTAAATGTAGGCAATGGATGTAGAAGGGTTATAGGAGAATACTGGATAAAAAGAAGCGTCTCCTACGAAGTCATGGAGTCAGTTCAACTGTTCCACTTACCCTTGCACAAAATACCATGTATTAACTACTCTGTTGAATCTCACTGATCTGATACGGCAGGTGAATTTCAAGCCAGGTATCAGCCTTCCTCTAACCTCAACACCAGCGTTATCCAACAGCTGCTAATTCGCCTGAACTCACCAGGTTGTTGCGTCATCAGTTTTTCGTTGTTTAGCTTTCTCGTGTCACTCGTACCTCTTTAAAACTAGCTTCTGGAACACATAGAATGCTTCACTGCTGGGCTATTGGGTCGATTGACTTTGCTAACCGGTTTCGGGTATCGAGACCGTCGGAAATTTGATTTAAGTATGACCAACCCGGCATTGGACCTCGGAGTACCTCAGTAATTTACTGGTTGTTCAGGTAGTCTTGATCACTGCAGGAGTTCTGTAAGTTAGTCATCCTGTCGAACATATATATCACTGCATGTCATCGGGCTTAAGTTTTGCTACGCTCTATTGAAAGGATAATTTAGGCATTTAGGATGAGTGATGGCATTAGTACACCTCATCCAGTGTCCATGCGGGTTTCGCACCCTACCTCTCCTATAGCAGTCATTTACTGCCATTCGGTTTACAGTCCTCCAGCTTTCGTTATGGTATCAACTCAGCGATGAGGCTCCCAGTCAGCAATGAAATTTAGACAAATCAATGGTGGCAGCGTGTACATAAAATTCCAATGCTCCCGTATATGTGGTGAACGCCACTGCACCAATAACGTATAATATTGGGGTCCGATTGTACGATCATTTCTGTGCCAAATAACGCAGGTTCGACTCATCTTGCTTGTCTCGCCTGGCCAGCGTAGCTTCCTTAAATGTAACAAGTTTTAATAAGCTTCACTCTACCATCATTTCAGACGCTAAAGTTCGCTGAAGTGTCATATGTCTTAAAAGATTGCTCTGCTTGTGTCATCAAATGTTGCACGCTCCTCGTATTCTTTACTTTCCTCCTCTGTCAACAGGATCATTTTTTTTTCATACGAAACACCATTCATTCGGCCCACCAATCCGCATCATCCTAGCTTTGCTTGTGGTTTATTACAAATCAAAGCCACATTTCTTGAGACTTGCCTTTGTGGGATCAGTTTACACTAGTTTGTTGGTTCGATATCGGACGTGGAATTTTCAAGCAAGCATAATAGTTGGACAGTGGAAAATTCAACCTGTAATTGGTGCCAACGAACATTGTCAACTGAACTGTGTGCTCGTAATTTTAATAACCATCTTCCTACTTACATCGTGCAACCACATTCGGGACAAAGAAACTGACGTCCAGGCACATTGTGAATGCTTGCGTTTGCCGGGAAGACATGTTGTTCCGAAGTCCTTGAAAGGTCTTAGAGGATCGCACTTGCCTATTACAAGAGGTTTCCGTTCAATAAACTCCATACTTCCGCAGAACAACAAACTCACTCTATCTTTTGGTCCTTCATCTTCAAAATTCTGCCCCTTGCTTTATTTCCAATATCTTACGATATCAGAAAAAATGGGATAGTGCGTCATCATCAACATGAAAAAAGGGTCTCTTATAGTTTGCGTGTTTCTTGGGGGTAGATTTTCGACACATCTGGGATTCAGTTGTATAACACTAAGATCTGGTGGCCACTTTATGAATGACCCCAAGTTTTGTTTCGTACGTTCAGTTGTCTTAGAACCACTAATGGAAGCCCTCAATTTTACTTAAGTTCTGGAAGAATTACCCCAACTAAGATAGATTCCCTATTTCGTCTCACCGCAGATGCATGTTTTCGTTTATGGATCTGTTCACAGTAAGCGCACACAAGTTACTTGCTTTAAATCGAATCCTATATTGTATGATTTTTTTCAACATAAACGTAGGTGACTACTAGAATTCCACATCTATTTAGCATGTCTTCATAGTCATATAGGATAATGGTCATATTCAATTCCA